GATAGATAAACATAGACTCTTGTTGACATTGTTATTTTAAAAGGCCCATCTTATTAGTGTTGTTTGTGTTTCATGTCAAAAGTAATATCCAGTTATAAAATAGTGCTGCTTTTTTTTTTAAACCTTGCTCTGTATCTGTCAGAATGGTCTGCACAGTTTTATCACATTTGAGCCTTACATGGTAGGAAAGGCACCAAACCCACTGAAGAAATCAGAATACAGAGCACCAAAAGCTAAGGAAGTGGCTTAGGATGCCACCAAAGTCCATGAGAGCCAGGATCACGACCCACATCTTGAAACTTTTACCACATATGCTTCGTCCCGTGCAATCAGGAGGACCCTTCACAAATGACCCTGGAGCCACACAGTGAACAGAAAGACTTTCAGGCCATCTCAGAATTCCCCAGTGAGTAAAGGAAAAAGTCCACTTTATCTACCCAGTGGCACTTACTGTAAGACCATTGTCCTTTCTTGGTCCAGGGCTGTGTTCCTCAAATGTGTCATAGAGGAAGAATGTCCTCAGCAGCCTGGTCCCGATTCAGATGTTTCGGAGATTATGTTACCTGTGGTAGGAACATTCCCGGCTGTGGCACTTACCACCTCATTACGTAATGGAGTGACAGCGAGTGGGATTCGGACAAGCTGGAATTGTTCACTGGCATCCTAACATTACAGTAAAAGTGATGTCACTTGAGAGAGGGTGTTAACCCTTGGTGCTGGCTTGCACACTAGCTGAAGTAACAGGTGCCATCTGAGACATTTCTGCATACCGAAAACCTTATTGTGCCCAGAGAAAAATTGTTTAGAATCTCTTTACTGTGGTCTCGAATTTTGATCTCCGCAGTGGAATGTTTCAGGGCACTTGGCTTCAAAACTAGGAAGAAACCCACATTTCTATAGGCAGTCTCTACCCAAACCCTTTAAGTTTTTTAAGGCATATGTTTGTTTGTTTTCAGGATCAAGACTGAGCTAGCTTTAAGTAGCAAACTGATTTATATATGCAATTTTAGGATGCAGTAACATGGACAATAGCCTTTCATGTGTGAAGTACTTTTACTGCACATTCTGTTCTGAGAATAGCTTTGCGTACTAAGTACAGGTTGATTTTTTTTTTTAATTTTGTAAAATGAATTATGTTAAACAGTATGTTCGGACACTTTCTGCCATGGCCAAAAAGTATGTATGAAAGTATGTTTGTATTTGTCTATGAGAGGATGCCGATGTTTTAGCTGAGGTCTTTGTGATACTTCGGTTACCTATGCATTCTTTATATTTGTGATTCGGTAAACAGGCAGCCATGTTCACGATGCCTTGTGTGTCTTATCATTTTTTTTTAAATTAACCTGTTAAATACAGCTTGAAATATTTTTATTTTATTTATTCTATTTTTACTGAAATATACTGCATTATTGTGTTACTGTATTATCTTTACTGGGTATGATGTCCATGTGCCCAGGTCTTAAGTAACTCAGTGAACTATACATCACGTAAAAGGTGGTTTTGTGATGATTTGCAGTCACATTTCTGCTGGAATATGTAGAAGAGAAGGCAAAATGCTTAAAGTTCCTTTTATTTTTTAAAAGCAGATAGATAGATGCACCCTTACCACCTTATCTGCGCGCCCCTTGGAAGCAGCGTCAAGGGGGTAGCCGACATGCCGTCTGGCGAAGATCTTTACTTTGTAGACTAAGGCACTGTGTGGTGTGTCTTCTTTATGTCTTTCACAATACGTGTGATTTCATCAAAAAATAATACACACAGAGACACATGCCCTTTGTTTCCACCTGGACTTAAGGCCACCCATAGCTAACTAGAGCCACTGTTTTTGTTTATCCGTCTGTCTGTCTTACTGCATGAAGGGACATAGACCCATTTCCATTAAAGCAAATTCTTGGCGATACAACTGTTGGCACTGCTACGTTTTGTTTTGGTTTGTTTTAAATCCACATGAGGTGTTTAAGAAGGACACATAACAAACTGCTCACAACTGGGGCTCTTGTAGCCACAAGCCTCCCCTTAGTGTATGGCACATCTATGTATGTATGAGCATTTCAACACAAGACTTCAGAAGCCACGTCTCCCTGACATTGGCACAATTGAATGAAACCAAAAGCTCTCTAGTTGGCCCGGTTTAACCTAACATCTGATGTGTTTATAGCCAGTAAGAAAGTAATTGGACCTGTTTCAGCATACTGGCAGTGTGGTCCAGTGGTGCAGCTCTTGCACAACATGCAGGGATCTGAGTTTAGTCCCTGGGAGGGCTGGGGGAAGTTGGCACCTCAAGGGTGTGAAGACATCACCAGGCAGCCACTTCCTCCTAAAAGGACATCTTGTTTCTTTGTGTTGCTGTTTGCTGTCGGCCACGTTTACACACTTACACGCTTACATGTAAAATGTCCCGGGAATAAATGTAGCTACATAAAATCTTTGGCTCGTTGATCTGACAGCCTGGCCACATATATAAGAAACACATACGGATTTAGTGTCTCTACAGTAATTTAGTTTTTGTATTATTCTTACTTCAAATTAAACTTTTTTTTTAATTGCTTTAGAAATGAAAGGACGTGGTGGCACACGCCTTTAATCCCAGCACTTGGGAGGCAGAGGCAGGCGGATTTCTGAGTTCGAGGCCAGCCTGGTCTACAGAGTGAGTTCCAGGGCAGCCAGGGCTACACAGAGAAACCCTGTCTCGAAAAACAAAAAAAAGAAAGAAAGAAAGAAAGAAAGAAAGAAAGAAAGAAAGAAAGAAAGAAAGAAAGAAAGAAAGAAAGAAAGAAAGAAAGAGAGAGAAAGGGAGGGAGGGAGGGAGG